AAGTGGGAGAACTTGCACAATTGGTGGCTGACTAAATACTTTTTTGCCCCACTGTAAGCTATCATCTTGCCCTTCATATGCCTATAAACAGAGAATTTTAAGAGGAGAGCAAGTTTTTTCTTAATTATGATATATGTGCAGTATTTGAAGTTGGTTTTGGACTGATCTCATAGTATTTTTCTTTCTAGATATCTATGATATTGCAGTATATAAAAATGAACTCTTCTGCTTACATACCAATGGAAAAGTCTCTCATCTCTCACTTCTGACAGTTGAAAAATGTGTAGAACGATTGCTTAGAAGAAGCTTTTGGACTCTTGCAGCCAAAATGTGCTGTCTTTTCCAGAATTCTATTGTTTTGTGTCGGGTAATCAATGTTTTTATTTAATATTGTTTTTATTTAAAGTTTAATATGTTCTTTTTGTTTTAAAAAATTCTGAGAGCTTTTTATTACAATATAAATATCTATTGCTATGCTATCTTATAAGTTAACACATCTTAAGAATGTTTACAGAAGACTTATTTCCCCCCTTTCCCCTGTGTCTCCTTCAGAGTCTCTAGGGATTTCAGAACTCCTTTGAACCATGTAGGATGGGGGCAGGAGCTTTTCTGGAAGAAAAAGTTTTTCCAAACATGTCATTTTTTTTAGCTCAATACTTTTAATTTATGAAGATCAAATTATATTAAGACAACCTAAGATTGTTCATGTTTATTCAGTTCATTATTCATTTTCTGTAACATCAATTTTTAATAATGCAGTTTTATTGTTTCTTTAATCTCTTCAGTATCAGATACATATTATTTTAATTCTTTTTGTTTCTGGTATGTTAACTATAATTTTACTGAAATTCTATAAAATTGTTCTTCAATAATCAGTTTAAACATTTATAAATCCTATATAAATCCAAATGCAGGTAGTCCTTGACTTAAGAACCATTAGTTTAGTGACTGTTTGAAGTTACAACCGTGCTGAAAAAAGTGACTTATAACTGATCCTCGCACTTAACAACTGTTGCAGCGTCCCTGCGGTCATGTGATCAAAATTGGGGCACTTGGCAACTGGCACATATTTACAATCCCTGGGTCACATGATCGTTATTTGCAACCTTCCCAGCTGGCTTCTGACAAGCAAAATCAATGGGAAACCATGTGATTCACTTAATTGTGTGATTCACTTAACTGCATGATTGTCAGGCCTAGCCCAAAGAACTCATGGAGACCATGCAGGTTCAATCAGCAAGGTTTATTGCCAGCACCTGTTTACAGAAATCTTCTCAGACTGACCAGCAGTTCCCAGGCACAACTCTCTACTGACTTCTGGAATGTTTAGGGATGGGCCAGCTTTCTCCGCTTATTTCCAGAGCGTTGCTGTGGAGACGAGAGCACCGTTTTCACCCCCCTTCCTCCATTCCAGTCCATCACAATGATTCACTTAATGACTGCTGCAAAAAAGGTTGTAAAATTGAATGTGGTCACATGATGCCTTGCTTAACGATCAATTTTCTGGTTCCTGTTGTCATAAGTCGAGGACTACCTGTAGCACTTTTAGTTACAAATTATTTTCTGTATTGTTTTGGTTTTTTTATATTGTTTTTAATTGCTGTGAGCCACGCAGAGTCAGATATTTGAAATGGGTGGCTATATAAATTGGAAAAATTAATAATTAATAAATGTGTTATATGTCTCCCCAAACAAATTCAAAACTCTGCTATAACTTTATAAAGCCTTGAGTTTTTTTCCCTCAGACATTCGTTTTGTGCATTGTTAGGCAAGAAAGATTCTTCCTGTAGATAAGCTGGAGCATCTGAAGTCACAGTTGGATCTTTCAACAGAAACTGATCTCATTACTCAACTTGAAGAACTGATCTCAAAACTTGAGCCTTTAGATTCTGCATGCAGCAGCAGAAGAAGCAGTATTTCTTCACACGTAAATATGTTCCTATACATTTATTTTCATTATATGCGTTGCATTAGATATTTTAGGAAGTTGTTAAATGTATTACAATCTTTTAAAATGGAAACTAACATTTGGATTGTATGTTTTATCCCAAGAGTCTAATGACTTGATAGAAAATTAGAGCACGGTATGATTCAGAAAAAAAGTTAATTCAATGTGTATTTTGCCTATAATAAAAATACTCTGTGAGACTGAGATTTTCCTTCTGCAAATGACCTTTGCTATAATAGCACTAACAAGGCAACTTGCTGTATTTATTTATGCATGTATCATATGTATTTTGGGATACTGCTATACTGTTGGGCTGTAGAAATGAATAATGCCACATATAAGCCCTCTCTATACATTTCATTTACTTGGAAAATTAAAATTGTAATCTTTCCTGTTAAAATCTATAGGCCTTTAAAACAACTTGGCTTTGATTTATCATAAAACAAATCTTTTAATCTACATTTAATTCTAGGTGCTGCTTTATAAGAGGAGATTCAAAGTTTACATTATGGTTTCTTAACAGGAGAGTTTCAGCATATTAGATTCTGGAATTTATCGTGTTATTAGTAGAAGAAACAGTCAGTCTGATGAAGATTCTTGTTCCTTACATAGCCAAACCTTATCAGAAGATGAAAGACTGAAAGAATTTCATGTACAACAAGAAGAGGAGCAGGTGGAACATGGTAATTTAAATATTTGTTAAATATTTTATAAACATGCAGTTGGACATTCTGTGATTACTTGGAGAACAAAGTTGCTGGTAATTCTGATCATTTGGCATCATTTGAAGTTTCTGCAAATGTCATTGAATTGACATTGTGATAGGTCTGCATTGATTTTGAATACTGATTTCATATCAAGACTAAATGATAAAAAAGACAGCATTGTGTACTATTTTTTGTAAGTCTTCACCCATATCTTGGGTATTTCCTCTCTTTGTCCCCTTTTCTTGCCTAGCCATAGATAATTCTGAATCTTAATGAGCTGTCAGAAGTTAGCTGATCAGCTAATTCAGTGGCCAGCAACACTCATTGTTTTAAAGCAGAATATGCTTTCTTTGGTTTTGGCTTAGTGTGTTATGAGAGTTAAACCATGGTGGTTTGTAAATCACAGTATTTATGAATTTGGCCATTTTGGCTTGTTAAAACATCATGGTTTAAAAATTAGACATAATCTTCATATATTTGATACATTTTAGTCTATTGGAGAATCCACATTTGGAGCAGTTTCCCTTTCTCATTAATACTCTATTGCTTTTGTATAAAAGCAGAGATATGCAAAATCCATAGATTGGGGAAGAACTCGTTGATTCTGAAGAACTCTGGAATGTAATGTTCCTCTCTGGACCATGCTGAACAAGATTAATATACTGTAAAGTTCTATACATTGTAGGAGGAAAGCTGTGTTACTTTACCATAGCCAAAAAGCAGGAGTCTGGTAGCATCTTTTTTGATTAACAATGTTATTAAAAGACATAAGCTTTTGTGGGATGCAGCTCACTTCATCAACTGCATCTGATGTAATGAATGGCAGTTCATGAAAGCTGCTTTTTAATAAAATTTGTTCGTCAACCACCTTCTGTAGTTTTGTATACGTTTGAGTCATTTGCCATATGGCAATCTTAAGATGCTGACTAGGGTAAGACCGTGTTTATTTTGTATGCTGTGCTTTGTGAGCACTTTGTGCTTTGACTTATTGATAATATTCAAGCCAAGAATCTATAGGAGTTCTGTAGGTTTCCCATCCAAGTACTAATTAACTTAACTTTCAAACCCAGATAAGGCCAGTTAAGTACTGTCACCTTCTGAGATATAATTTTCACACATTATAATTTGTGTGAAAATTCACTGATAACTAAGTTTTGCATGTTTCTGTATAAAATTATACGTACAAATTCATTTAGACCCGCTACGTTATAACATGTGTAATGAAAATCTTTTCTATTCTTGTTTGAATTGAACCCATTTCTTTTAGAATATAAAGTCTTTTAATAATTGGTGTGCAGTTTGCTTAAATTACAGTGTGAAGAAACCAATAGAGGTGAATATGTGTAGCTCAGGGTTG